CATTGGTGAGAACTTGTACAAATCCCCAAAGGAGACTTATGTAAAAAGCTGCACTCCGTATTCAAAATGTTATTTCTCTAAAGCTGCCTAAATAAATAGAGGTGTCCTCAATAACAATTCAAAAGTCTTACTTTTGCATTCTGCATGCCAAAAACATTTCCTGCCTCCTGTTAAACAATTCACATTTACTCCCAGAGAAGGCCCCGTCTATTCAGGAAATAAAATAATCTACTTTCCATAACTAGACTAAATTTAAGTTTCTATCACTTAAACAAATTTGCTAGGTTGCACCTGAACAATAGCAAGTTCCCACTAAGTGGGGATTCTGCATATCACACTTTCCAAAACAGTCACATTCTCAATATTCATAGATTCTTTTAAACCCAAAACTGACAAACAACCTCTTCAAAAGGTATTTTCTTCCATTATTCCTTGTATAAGATTACAAAGAATAGAAATAAGCACATCATAAACCAATCATCAATTATCTAAACAGCGCCAAATTTACCTAATAAATATGCTGATGTTTGATAGCTGAATTTCTTAAAGGGACAAATTAACATAAAATAAAACACCCATCATTCAGTTATCAGCCTGAGTTTGGTAAGAAAAGGGGATGCACCAAAGCAGCTGAAATCTTTATTTCCTTTCTTGCTGGCACTACCCAAAGGAATCAGACATTCCCATGATTAACCTGCTTGTTCAGGATATCCCAAATTGATCAGTTATTATTACACAGCCTTTATAATTAAACTGTGATTAGCTTCTAAATTGTAATGAAAAGGTTTTTCCATTACACTGATAAAAATATGCAAAGTTCCCTATTCCCCTACACCAACTCCATAGAGAGCTCCCATATTTTGATAGCAAAATAGGCAGTGGCTTGACTCATAATAGGTTGAAAATAGATGAGCTATAAAACTGTTATTGGAAAGTCTCAGTGCCTGTTCCTCCTGGACAACCTGCTTCCCGGCTCATTCTCCATGCCAAGAACTATTTAAATTATGCTCCAAGGCATAATTTATGGTACAGTTTTTCAAACTTACATTCCATGGCATTCCCTTCCCACTGGAGAATAAAGTTTGGGGGGGGGAAAGTTTACCGAAACAGGCAATTTTCTATCCAAGGAGCTTTGCTTCTTGATCAGGAGTTCTGGGGATTTTCTTTTTCAAAACAGGTTCGAGTCTTTAAAGAGAGTTGGAAACCCCCTAATTTACCGGGCTCTATTCTTCCGCCACCCTGGTTATCTTAAACTTCTGTTGTTTGCAGCTTCAATAACTTTTCGCATCCGATTCCTGTTTTTAATGCTCTGGCAGGTCGCCTCCCTCCTTGCATGGCACCATTTCATTTTCACAACATCTGACCTGTTCAATCCCTTCTTTTAGCGCCAAATGATTGTGGTGGAAATCAAGTCAATAACTTGTAAGGTCCCAGATAGTGTTCCACTATATTATATTCTTATTACACTTTCCCTTCAAACTGAAACAGTATACGCAGCATTTTCCCACTTTCGCTTTTGCCAGCCGTAGGGTAGGAAAACCATAATCCCCCGTCCTACTACAAACCTGGTTTTCGCCCTGGATCCGCCTCTCTTCAGTCGCGTCCTTTAAAAGTCTTAATGTTACCTTTTACCTACAGTCCAGTAGCCGCTTCCTTCGTAGGGCGCTCGCTTAATCTCTTGGGCCTAAACACCTCCAGAAAATCCTATTATTTCCGCCCGTCAACCGCACTGATTTATATCAAGAGTTTGCAACTCCCTAAACTGCACGGCGCGCGTCCCGCGGAGAACAAGGAAAAGAATAATAATAATAATAACAATAATAATAATAAAACAGGTCTTCGCTCCGGGAGATTCAGAGAAGGCCTGGAGCGCTGAAGCCACGGCTCCCTCCGCCACTCGCTGCTTGACCACCCCACACCACCCCCGCCAGACAGACCGGCCCTCTCGAGCCCACCTACCGCTGGCTCGTTAGTTCCGCTCACGGAAAGCGACCGCCGGCCGCCCGGCCTCCAGGGTGTTTACTGCGCAGACGCGGAAGTGTTTGGATGAAAAAAGTGCCAATGGTGAGTTTGCGCGGCGGGAGGAATTCCGCTGGAGCTCCTGCCTTGAAGACGTCCGGTAAGAAGCTCGCGGGATGCTCGTGTGTCCGATTACAGATTGATTACAGATTGATTATTTATTTGTTTGTTTATTTATTTATTATTTTTATTTATTTATATTTATTTATTTTTTATTTTATTTTTTTATTTCATTATTTATTTGTCAACATGTACAAGGTAACAGGTATTAGTATAGACATGGACATTATCGCAAGAGATTGGTACAACTAGATGGATATAAATAAGTATAACATGGCCATGAACACATAAAATGAGTACATATCAATTGGGACAGTTGGACAGGGACGGTAGGCACGCTGGTGTGCTCATTCCCTCTCCCTTAGGGACTTCTTAGGAAACGTGTGAGGTCCTCGGTGGACAGTTTAAGGGTTAAGTTTAAGATTAAAGATTAACAGAGTTGGAAGGGACTTCATAGTTCATCTAGTCCAACACCAACAACTCCCAGGTAGGAGACCTTACACCATTCCTGACAAATGGCAGTCCAATCTCTTCTTAAAAGTCTCAAGTGATGAAGCCCCCACAACTTCCGAAGGCAACTTCTGTTCCATGGGTTGATTGTTCTCACTGTCAGAAAGTTCCTCCTTGTTGAATCTCTCCTTGGTCAGTTTCCATCCATTATTCCTTGTCCAGCTTTCAGGTGCTTTGGAAAATAGCTTGACCACCCCCCTCCTCTTGAGGGGTGACAGCCCCTCAAATATTGGGCAGACTCGCTTAACAAATGTTGCACTTAGGAACATATATTTCGGACTCAATTGTGGTCGTACCTTGAGGACTACCTGTAGTGCGCATTGAGAATCAGGGTAGCACAAGTATTATGATGTAGAACTGGGGGGGAAAACAGAGCACACTATGATTTGTCATAATCTCTCTACCCAACCAATTGGGTTAGCAATAGCAATAGCAGTTAGACTTATATACC